AAAACCTGGGGGAATCACTCCCCCTCTCCACCCCCAGTGAACAGAGCCGAGGAGCCAGGAGCGGGCGGGAAGAATAGGTCACCGAGTCCAGCGGCTGGCCCCTTGCGCACAGGGCCTTTGGGGTCAGGGAGAAGCGGGTGCAGGCTGGGGGGGGGGGCACCACTCTCCCTGTCCACCCCCCCCCCCAAAACACACACCACCAGATATCTTGCCCAGAGCCCTCCCCCACACTCCAGCCCGGACCCCAAGGCGTCACAGAGACTCCCCGGGAAGGCCAGTGTCCATGAGCACACAGGATGGGAGAAGGTGACGAAAGTAAGAGGAGGCAGGAGCTGGCGTTTGTAGGAGGCAGCGCGGGAGCCAGGCCGGAGGGGACAGGTCTGCACAGCCGGCCGCACACCGCGGCCAGCCAAGCTCAGCCACATGGTCACAGCCGCCCCAGCACCCATCGGAGCAGAGAGCTGTGACTCCTTCCCACAGACACAAGCCTGGGGGGCCCTGGGGGGCCTGGGACATCAGAGACCACCCACACCCAGCCTGACACAGCCCCCAAGACAGGCCCCCCAGCCCGCCCCCCACTGCGGGTCCAGGAGGAGGGGGCATTTTCCTCCCCACAAGAACCAGGGTAAAGCCTATAGCGGCCGTCTCCATGGTAACCAACAACAAACATCCCGGGAACCACAGTGGGACAGGAAGTGACAGTCACATGACAGGAAGGCTTTTTTTTTCCCAGCGTGGGGAGGGTGATGCGATGGATAGCAGCCCCTGGGAAATCAGCTGTTCCCGAGCTTGGCCCCGCTTGGAGCCGGAGGGGCGAGGGGTGGCCGGGCGGCTGGCCGCCCCATCTCCCCCCCACCCCACCCCCCCACCCCACCCCCCGCCACCGCGTCCAAGGCCGGCTGCAGGGCTGACCTGCCGGGCCCTCCCTCCACGCCCGCCGCCCAGGTCCCCTCCTCGGCCCCCCTCCCCGCCACTTCCTGCCGTGACTGGAGATCAGAGAACTCCCCACCGCAGCTTCCCCTTCTCGAGTCTCGATTCCTGGGCTGGAGGTTTCACTGTGGGGCAAGGGACAAAGGAAGGAGGGCTGGGAGCCAGCAGGAGGACCCGGGGGACAGGCGGCCCTGGGGGAGGGAGCCGCTCCGAGGTAGGTGTGTGCACACAGGCACACGGCGAGCGGGGCGCGGTGACACCAGCCGGCCGGGCGCGGTGACACGCGGAGGCATCTCGGCGGGGAGGCGAGGGAGCCCCACTCCGGCCGGCAGGCGCCGTCCCCAGCCTCTGAGTCCATCCCGGCCTCCAGACCCGAGAGGTCCCCGCGGCCCCGCCCCCACCCGCCTCTCCCCTGCCTTTTGTGCTGAAGAATCCCCTTCCCTGCTCCAAGGTGCCCGCCCAGAGAGGGCACCTTGGCCAGAGGTGGGGGGAGTGGAAGCTCCCTCTGCCCCCTCCCCTCCCCTGCAGATGTCCCAGACTATATTTAGCCCAAACCGGGAGGCCAGCCAGACCCAGACTCCCCACTGGCCCAGAGCTGAGCTCCCAGTTTTTATGCAATTAAAACATTAACAGAAAACCACCACCTCCATCCACACGCTCCCCCCCTGCCCCCCGCCCCAGCCCTGCCAGAGCAGCAGAGCTCAGAACACGTGGACAAGGGCAGCCCGGCTCTGCAGCCAGTCGGGGGGTGGGGGGGTCCCTGGGCAGATAGCAATAAACCATCCCCTTCCCCATCTCCCAGGCCCTGCCCCCACCCACAGGAGGGGGACATCATCCGTGAGATCAGGCTGACCCTTGGGCGGGGGCAGGCTTCTGGGAAGGGAAAGGCAGACCCAGTGGGTTGGGGGGGGGGGGTTGCTTGGTTGCAGAAATTCCACCTGTCATTTTGCAGCCCCCTCCCAGCCAGCTCCGGTTACAGGGCTGGGGGTTGGCAACAGGTGCTGGCCAGGCTGGCAGCAGCCTAATCCCCCCACCCCCCTCTCAGGCCCACAGTGGTGCCTGGAGGTCCCCCAGGGGCCCGGCGGGCAGGATGCTGGGGGGAAGGAGGAGGCCTGGCTCCCACTGGGTGGGTGTAGGGCAGCCATGCCCCTCGGTGAGACCGGCCCCGCCCTGTGCTGTGTGCCGGAGGCTCTGGGAAGCCAAGGAGCCCTTGGTTCCACAGCGCCTATTTCATTTCCCCACGATGCCAGGCGGGCAGGCCAGCGTGTGGGAGGTCTGTCTGCTGCCTCTTCCTCCTCCTCCTCTCCAAATTCCAGGAAGGAGCAAGGGAGGCTCCAGTTGCGGAGAGAGAGGGAGAGGGAGCAGGCGGTCCCAGCTGGGGAAGGAGGGGGGGGGGGCGGGGACTGGAGCGGGAGGCGAGATCCAGACGGAGCAAGAGGCACCCACACCCGGGCCAGACTGGGACAGACGCACCAGCCTGACGCATTCTCACACTGGTCCCCGCACACCGCCCGCCCTGCGGGGACACCCAGACACCCTCAGCCAGCCCTGCCAATCCCAGGACACTCCCCGGACACACACGGAGATCCAGGCCCTCCCTCTCCCCCCTGAACCGTGTGGGCTCCAGACAGCAGCCAGAGGGTGGAGGGGGCGGAGGGAGGAAAGGCAGCAGGCAGCAGGCAGCAGGGCTGTGCAGCCAGGGCCCTGGAAGCTGGAGCCGGGTTGCCACACTCCTTCCCCAAAACCCAGTCCGTCAAGACAACTCTGGTCATCGTGCCAGGGGCCCTGCCAGCTTCCCACCCCCCCACACCCACTACCGTCAGAACGGGGTGCGGGGTGCTGGGCTGTCTGTCCATCCCAGGCATAGGGTCACCTTCCCCAGGTGGCCCTCACCCAGACCTCAGGCAGGGCTCACCCACAGCCCCCACAGACAGACACCCAGCCTGGTCCTGCCCTGCCCATGCCACCCAGAGGACAGGGACCGGGCACATCCTCATGCCACACCATTCTGAAGGGCACCCCACCTAAGACCCTAGAGTCTGAGCAAGGAGTGGCTTGGCGGAGGGGGGGGGGGATTTAGGGAAGGAAAGTTAACTGGCAGGAGCGTGGGCCAGTCCCCCCCAAAGCAGACCTGAAGGCCCACTCAGACGATGCCCTCTCCCCCACACCAGACAGGGCGGCAGGAACCACGTCATGGCACATGTGGGTGACTGTGCCCAACGGGGAATGCATGGGGGTGATCAAGCTGGTGCTGCCCACAGCTAGCTTCCTGCCCGTCTGCCACATGGCTGGCAGTGGGAGGGGGACCGGAGAGGCACCCTACAGTAGTGGGGGCATCGAGGGTAAAACTGAGGGGCAGAGATTTGGGGGCTAGAGGAGGAGGTGCCCACGTCCAGCCGTGCCAAGCCCAGCGTCTCCGCAGAACTGCCAATGCCTCCGCCGCCCTCACCAGTCTGGTGGGGACACTCCTGCAGGGACACGGCATCCTGCTCCTTCACATCCGCAAAATCCCGCAAAATCCAACACCGTCAGCTCCCAGGGGCCACTCTGTTCCAGGCCCCACACGGCCCAGGTTCCCAGGCAGAACTATGTCCCAGTCCCTCCCAGTGCACCCACATCTGTCACCGCCACCACCTCCCTGACCACAAACTCCCTGACTCCTCAACCCGCCCCCCGCCACACACACACACCTTCTCCCCCAGCTCCAGACTCCCTCTCCGCCCCCCTCTCCACAGGGGAAGCCCCGAGGCTCCAAGCCATCCCTGCTCCAGCCTGGGGCTTCCCCACCAGCCTCCCCACCAAGCACAAGGCCCTGGGGGAGCTGAAGGCCTGAGCCCGTTTCCTAGGAAGACCCGGGGTTCTTACTGAACCCCAGACCTCAGACAGTGCTCCCCAACACACCCCACAGACACCCCGCTTCCCCAGAGCAACCCTGCCCTACGACCACTGCAGCCAGGGGAGGGGACAGGAGACATGTCCGAACCCCCTGACCAGGACACTGGAGTAGGCCGTAGAAGTGAGGGTTGGGGTACACAGCAAAAGAGGGGGAGGGGGGAGTGTTCTCAGAACAAGTCCCTTGCAGAACATAGACACGCACACATGTGCACACAGCTAGCTGCAGAAGAGGAAGCCACACCAGGTGGGTATCCCATCCCAGAGAGAATGGATGGGAAAGCGATGGCCCTGGCTGGAAGGGGGGAGGGGGGGTATGATTTCCATATGAGTTGGGGCACATCCCCAGCCTAGCACTCTGGTGGCCCGACCCCCTTCCTTCCCACGGAGCAGCCTGACAATAGGGCAGTGCCCAGAGAGGGGGCACAGCCAAGCTGTGTTCCAGCGCCCCCCCTCCCGCACACACATCTGGCTAGCAGCTTCCCGGCCTCGTGGGTGGCACCATGTCCCAGACACCCTCAGCCAAAGCAAAGACGGCCAGTCTGTCCCACCCTCTTCTCACCCAGAAAGCTGCCACCACCCCATGATAGCCACCAGACCCAGTCCTCCCTCTCCCGGCCGGCCGTCCCGGCTCCCCCACCCCATGCTGACGGCTCCCCTCGCTCCGCCGGGCTCACCAGCTGAGCGGCCCCGCCCCCCCGCCGGCCGCCTCGGGTGGGGGTGGGCCCCCGGGCTGATTCTCCCCAAACCACAGAGCAGCTCAGATAACAGGAGGGAGAGAGAGAAGGAGGGGGCTAGTCCGTTGGGCATCCGATCTCTCCCCAAACAGGTTTGAAAGTCTTTTTTGTTTTGCTCGTTTCCCGAAGAGAAAGGGGAGCGAGTTGGGAGTCCCCAGCGGCGGCCCTGCCCCGGCCCCGGCGCCGCGGACACGCGCGGCGAGACGGCCTCGGACGCCCCAGGACCGCGCGCGGAGACACGGGCGCAGACAGGCGCCCAGACGGGGCTCCCCAACCCCGGGCGCGGCGGCCGCCGCTGGGAAGCCCAGGAAACCCCGGGGTTCCCATCGGAACCCGCCCGGCTCCCGGTCTCCACCCGCAGCTCCCATCCGGAGCGAGAGCGAGGGTCCCCGATGCCCGTGGGAGCCGGGGGCTCTCCAAACCCCCCGGGGAAGAGGGTACCTCGCAGCTGGGACGACGCAGTCCGTCCGTGCGCCCGCGGGTCCGGCGTCCGCCCTGGCCCCGCGCCTCGGCACCGCCCGGCGTCAGGGGTGCGGGATCTCGGGGAGCAGCCGTCTGGGGGGCCGAGCTCAGCAGCGCGGGCCGGAGGCAGCGGCCATGGCGAGTCACGTGCGGAGGCTGAAACTTTACCCGGAGCCCCAGACTGGGGGGCGGAGGGTACGGGGCTGAGGGAGGCCCGCCCCAGGCCACGCCCCTCCCGCCCACTGGCCAATCACCATCCAGGGGCGGGCCCTCAAGACCACGCCCCAGGCTCCTCGCCTTAACAGACCCGAGACTGGGCGAGTCTTAAAGGAGCCGCGCCTCGCCGGGAGGCTGGACCGTGGGAACCTGTGAGAATCCCTCCCTCCGCCCCAAAAGAAGAGCTGCAGAGCTCTCGAGGAGCTGGAGCGGTGCGGGAGAGTGGGAAAAGGGCTGGCTGGAGAAAGAGCTGCAGTGTGTGGCGTCACATGCCCTTCCCCAGACACACACACACACACACACACACACACACAAACCTGGGAAGTGAAGGCAGTGCCTCTGGCCCTAGCTGTCAAGCCCAGACTCCCAGGATTATAATCCTCCTCCCCACAGAGGGAGCTAAAAGCTGGGTGACCTTAAACAAGTCATTTCCTTTCTCTGAATCTTAATTTTCTCATCTGAAAAAAAAAAAAAAGGAGTACAAGAGTAGATAGATCTCACTCTAGTGCACTCCTCCCAGTTTCCCCCCAAAACCTCTCCAGCCTGAGTGGGTCATCAGTCAGAGGAACTCTGGCCTACTGCAACCGCTCAGCAGCCTCCCCTCCCCCCCAACAAAAAATTAAAAAACGAGCAGTGGCTCTTGCATCTTCTAAAGTCAGAGGCGGCAAGACCACACACCCCTACGCCCTCCCACACACCCCTACACCCTCCCACACACCCCTACGCCCTCCCTCACACCCCTACACCCTACACCCCATGTTAGAGCACTCAGCTTCTCCCTCCGGGCCCAGGCTGAGAGCCACTAAAGCTCGCATTCCTGCTCCAGTTGAGCAGGATCTGATTCACTCTCCATCTGCAGGACCCCGGCCCCCAACACAGCCCCTTGCCCCCCCCCCGCCCCGCCTGCTGCTCTCCTGGCAGTCGGGGGGGGGGGGGGGCAGAAAGCGGAATCACTAGGGAACCCCCTTTCCCATCAGAGAAGTGGCCAGAGTGCCCGCACCGGACTTCCCGCTGGAAGGGGAAGTGCCACCCTCCCAGCCTCAGCCGACAGAGGGAACCCCAGGCCGGGATGGGACTCGGGTTTGGGTCCCCTGCTGCCCAGGCTGCACCCCAGGTCTGGGCTGGAGGGACCTGGTGGTCTCCCCCAGCCTCAGCCCCCGCCTCGGGGAGATAGGACAGGCCGGGTCCGTGGGACGCGCTGCGTAGGGAAAGGTGCCCGGACACCGCAGCGCCGGCCCTTCCCGCCCGCGGGCCGGCGGCCTCCCGCTCCGTCTGGGTTTCCGTCCGCCGGTGCGAGCCGCCCGCCCCGCCCTCCGCCCCGTCCCGTCCAGATCCATCCGCAAACATGCGCTCAGCCGGCAGGAATGCGCCAATGGCTCCCAGATGTGGACGCCAACGCTTAACCCCTTCTCACCGCCCCCCCCAGGCCTTCAGCATGAGCCCGGCCAGCAGCAGGGGGCGCCACCTGGTGAGGACCAGCCTGGGATTGGGGGGCGGGGAGGGGGGGGCAGAAGGGAGGATTCAGGGTCAGCTCCCCCTGGCCTGCACAGGCTCCCCCTGGCCTAGATTCTGCCAGTCTTCCTCCAGCTGAGGCCGGAGGGGGGGGGGGGGATTATGGACACAAAAATGGAAGCGTGCACAAACACAGGCATACCGCCTCCCACCATGCAGGCCTTCGCATATACCTGCGAGCACATGAGGTCAGGTGCGCACACTGAGAGTCAGGTGTGCAAATGCAAACTCAGGACACACATGTGTATACCCCCGTGTGCATGCCCAGGACGCCCATGTGTGCACATCCATGAGCACATAGACAGGCATGTGTGCCGTGGCTGGGCAGCTCAGGTGGTCGGAACATCACCTGATATGCCAAGGTTGCAGGTTTGATCCCGGTCAGGGCACATGTAAGAGTCAATCAATGAGCGCATAGAGAAGTAGAACAGCAAATCGATGTTTCTTTCTCTCTCTCTCTCTCTCTCTCTCTCTCTCTCTCTCTCTCTCTCTCCCTTTTTCTCTTTTACAAAAGAAAAACAAGACAGGCACTTGTGCACACACAAGGACAGGAGGCAGAGGGTGGGGCACACTCCTGAGCAGACATAGCAGCAGACCCACGTGCAGAAGAGGGAAGAAATTCATGCATCCACAAACCTGCTCCCACCGGGGTGACACTCACACACACACACACACACAAACACACACACGCACCTGAGCCTGGCACCCAGGTGACCCAGCGCCCACCCTGCACGCCTTGGGTGTGCTCCCTTCCCGTCCTGCCTGCCTTCCAACATCAGCCTTCCTCAGGCTGGACTCCCAGGAGCAGGAGAGGTCCCAGGTGGAAGGAGGCCAAGAGGCCAATCTGCAGCGGCAGCTGCACTCCAGCTGTGCTGGGGCCACGGTGGGACTCCTACCCCCACCCCCACACACACCCCCACCCTCTAAGGCCGGAGGGAGACAGTGGAGGAGGCAGCAGGAGTCCAGCAGAGGGGAAGCCACGGGCCTGGGGATGGCTTCCTCTTTGGGAAAGGCTCTCCTGCCCTCAGCTCACAGGAGGAGGCTCAGGGAGGAGTCCGAGCTGCTTGTTTCCCAGGACAGGGATCTCTCTCCAAACAAGAGGAAACCTGAGAGCCCAGATAGGAGCGAGGCCAGTGACAGCCCCCCGCAGTCCAAGGAGATACAAAATAGCTCTGACACACCCAGCAGGCCCTCACTTCTAGCAAAACAAGGCCTCCCTCAGTCTCTGGGGAGCCCCCGCCGAATCGCACTGCCGGTCCTGTGAGCAGAGGCCGGGGCACTGCAGGCCCAGCCACCTGGACGCAGGTGCAAGCGAGATGCTGCTGGACCTGGACCCGGCTTCAGTCCACTCCTCCCTCCCCAGCCTCCCAGCTCAACCCAAGGAGCGCCGCCCACAAACACCCTCCTGGCCCCGCCCCCTCCGGTTCTCACAGTCCTGGGGGGTTGGGGGGGCGCTCCTGGTTCCACTGCACAGATGCGGAAGCTGAGGCTCAAAAAGGAAACCGTCTTGTCAATGGCAGAGCTAAGATAATTCAAACCCGCAGTCACCTCTTTAACTCACCCCTTCCCTCCAAAGCAAACAGAACCTGCCACCTCTTCCCCTCAGCAGGGCACACGCGAGAAGCCCGTCCTTGGCTGGCTCTGCAGGTCCCTGCATGGGGCCAGGACAGGCGGAGAGAGAGCAGAGAAGACACTGGGACCATGCATAGGGCCCCCCCAGCCCCACCCCAAGCGTGGTGCCCACCTGCCCAGCAGGCACAGCCGGGTGACTCAGCTGCATCCGGGGGAGATGCCAGGGCAGTGACTCACCTACCGAGAAAGAAGCAGAGCTATGGCTGGCCCCTCGCCAGCCCGGGACAGAAGTGACTTAGTCACCCAGACTGTGATGCCCAGCAGGCACTGCCGGGCCCTGGGGACAGAGACAGGCTGTGTCCTTCATGGGTACATGCGCCCCCTGGCGAAGTACAGGAATCCTGGGGGGAGCTATGGCTGGATCGGCCCCTGCCCCCTCACCATGCCCACCCTCACCACGCCAGGCCCCGCTCCAGGGCAGACACATTGTGTGAGACCCCCTGGGCTGCCCTGCCCCCTGCCCATCACTCACCACCCACTCCCCCACCAGCCCTCCCGCCTCCTGCCACCCAAGTTGTACCCAGGCTAAGAGTCTCCTTTAACATGTCCTGGCAGCACCTCCTGCCCCCACAGCCCCTCTCACCCCCCCACCCCCACATCCAACATGCACTCAGACACCCTCCCGCCAGCCCTGCTCCAGCCAGCAGCTGGGGAGCCGGGAGGGTGGGGTGCAGGGATTGGGTTACCAGAGGCTGATGGGGTGGGCTGTCACCCAATCCCTTCCCCAGCGAGGCCTCCTCCCGGGCACCGTCTCCCTCACCCACCTGCCTCCCTCCCACCGCTGGCTGGCGGCCTGCTGCCCTTGAGGCCCTTCCGCCCCCACTCCGCCCAAGCTGGAAGGGAGATGTTCGAGGGTGTCTGTCACACTAAGACCAGCCCGGGATGTGAGAGGAAGAGAGAGACAGACACACAGACAGAGATGGACAGAAAGAAAGAATGACTCTGTGCTCGGCGCTCTGGCTGCCGCTGGGAGGTGGAGGTGGAGGTGGGTCTGTCTGCGCGATGAGCCAGAAGGAGGGGACAGAGGAACGCCCCAGGCCCCGGGGGAGCAGGTGGGGCCCAAGGGGGCTGACAGGCTGAACAACCTCAATCCATTTGCACTATTGATTTCTCACACTCTGCGGCAGGCCTGGGGGGGGGGGGCATGATAAATCAGCCCCCCAGAGACAGAAACGGAGAGGAGAGGAGGAGGGGCTCTGCACCACAGTGTGTGGCCTAGGGAGATGGACTTGGGGGCGGGGGGGGGGGCAGGGGAATGGGCTGAGTGGCAGGAGGCGGGAGTGGGAGGTGGGGGGGAGTGGGTGGTGCATTAAGACCAGGCCAAGCATCGCTTTCCGGCTGGATCTGAAGGTGATTCGAAAAAAGGGGGGGGGGGATGCTAAAGCGCACCCCGTTGGGCTACACAGGCAGGGCCCCCTCGAACACCTCCAGAGGGCGCCACTGATACCATAGTCGACAGAATGGCACCTCCTGCAGCCATGCAACGCGGTGGCCCTGGAAATGAGGCTGCGGCAGGAGGCTGAATTGAAGGGACCACCATGCTCCACCGTCCTTTCTCCTCAGCACCCTTCTCCCAGCCTCAAGGTGGGCCTCCGATACGCTCCCTGCTCTTCAGCCTGCGCCCCTCCTTTGCCGAGAGGATGGGCAAACACCACCGTGATGCAGGCAGGCGTGGCAGGATGGGAGCTCACGGGGGGGGGGGGGGCAGGGGGGGCTGGAGAACCTGCACACCCACCTTTCAGATCCTCATCCCTGGTCTGTCCCCGGCTCACCCCGCCACCGCGGGGGGGCAGATTGGTGGCCCTCCTGGGCCTCTGCATGGAGCCAGACA